CCGGATTTACACTGAACCCTATGGAGAATTTTGCGTCGGGTTACGACCAACTCGGGATACGCCCAGAGTCACGGAACGCATTAAGTTTGTATCCCGAGGTACCATTGTATATTATAAAATAAGCCATTAAGAAAAGTATCCTGGGACATTTTCAGCAGGGTAGTGGGAGATGTTTTGCAGTTTAAAAACAACAAAATATAGTGTGTCTTCCACATTCTAGTTATGTGGCCTGTCACAGTGATACAAATGTTTCTTTTTGTAGGAACATTCTGTTACAAAGAAGAAGCAGCATTCAAAAAAACATAAAAAAGAAAAGAAGAGGAAAAAGACTAAAAGAGAAAAAAAAGATGATTCATCTGATACCAGCTCTGTAAGTTTTATAATCCAAGTCACCAGTTGGTATAAAGCTATTTGTCACCTATATTAGTGATGGTACTTAGTTTTACATGTATCCTGGATATTTGATTTATAATTGCTGGTACGCTATAGCGTCAACCTATTTTTAAAAAATGGTAAGGATGCAAAGGTGACCATTAGGTCAGAGGAAGAATAACTCCACCTCTATTAAAATGTGGACTGAACAGCTAGTGATTATTGCAGCAAGCTAGCATTCATTTTTCCATATATTTGATGTAATATGGTAGAAACCACGTGCTAGAAAGAGCCAGATTTCAGCTGCTAGGCCTTATCTCATAGTGCTATATACATTTAGCATGGGTAATAATGAATCATTAGACACAATATTCAGAATATTGGGTTGCTTGGAAGACTAAATATGAACTTGTTTATCTAGCTGTTGCTTCCATTGAGGCTGTTCCATTGTCTGTAATATGTGTCAGCAATGCTATTTAGACTTCACTCTATATTATTACTGGATATGCTCTGCACAATTTTACAAATTCAGTTTAAGATTCTCCAATGGTAGAAAAACTCCCAATCTTCCACAATATAGTAACATCCAGATAATATTGGATTTCAAGTCCCTGATACTCAGTTGGATTAGTTGCAAAGCAGTGTTTTATATCTGGTGGCTGTGTGCTTTTTCTTAAACTATAGAGTTGCATCTGCCTATGAGAAGGGTTGTTTATTTCAATTGAAGTGAATGTCATTAACAATACTGTTGCCTGCACTTTGCTTGGGTTTTTCTTCTAAACATGTTATTATGCATAGACTATATTGGTGCGTCACAAAATTCCCACAAATTTTACAACCCTCAGAGGTCTGCCAATCATATGACTTCTAGCTGTGAAAATTTGTTGGTTTTAAGTGGTCATCTGTAACAGGATGACTGCAAAAGTAATTTCTTTGAAAAGTCTTTTGAGAGTTAACAACTTGTCCTTTTATGTAGTGCTATATTGTTAATAACAGTACCCAAGGGAACAAATTGGTGGCCTATTTTCAATGGGGAAAAGTGACTATAATAAATATCAGATGTACATAGTTACTTTTTATCTGAATGCCCGAGTCTTATAAATACATTTAAAAAGCTGCAACCTCCAATAATGGATATAATTTATTCTCTCTTTCTGGATCTCTTATTCATATAGAAAAGGAAATCAAGTTTTTTAAAATGACCTTTACATTGTTTCATTGACCTTTAAAGGCCTTTACAATCCTCTAAAACACATTTGATTATTTGAAAACATGTGTTCTTAGGGTTCTTCAGAAGAATGGGTGGAAGCTCCTGTTGCACAGCCTTCTAGCACTGAGGAGTCTTGGAAGGTGAAGAAAGAACCATCTGAAGAAGGGACAGTGGAAAACTCTATGTCAGTTCAGGTAAGCACCCTGAACAGGAGGAGGCATCTTTTTTGCGGACAAGAACTGTGCTTAACATTTTGGGGAAAAAGAGGTCTACAGTCAAGAGGGAAATGGCAAACTTGTTGGAGGGCCAGGATTTCTTGTTTTTCCTGGGACTGGAAAGGTTCTTTTAAACGATGTTAACCCTACTTTAAGATTTATCCTTTAGCTTTTGTGTGATCATGCCTCAAGAGATTCAGTTGCCCCCAACCCTGCTGACATTTCAGAAAGCTTTAAAAATTTGGCTGTTTTCCCGGGTACGGAGGTTGAGAGGTTAATTGGATCTGTGAGACTGATGTGTCATCTGCTGAGGATTTATGCTGGCCTTGATTGTCACTATGTATATGTATTATTACTTATTATATTTGAGTTTTTAACTTTATGTTAGCTTCTCAGAATTGCCATTGTGATCCAGTGATGATCATATAAATTGATTAAAATAAACAAAGAAATAAGAGACAGGTAATCATTCCACTGATTTTTCATAATTGTGATTGAAGGTTCAATGTCATTGCAAACAAAACTCACCAGTCCAGGGGCAGAAAGTTTCAATGGTCCGTGGGGTAATTGGCTTTTAAGTCTAGAGCCTGCTGATCCTGATGTTCTGAAGGTAGTTGGTAGATTTCCAGAAGTTCTAATCTTCTAAATCAGGAAGTGGTTCAGAGTATTCTGAACATTGGCACATTCTGGAAAAAAAAAAAGAATGTTCCAGGAAACACCAGGAAATTCTATCCCTGGGACACTGATTTCTCTAGTTCTGGCTATGTGCAGTCTTGGACCTTAGATTGTGTTAATCAATTATGTGCCATCAAGGAGTGACCACATAGATAGATTTTCTCCATTATGATATGCCCTAACCTGGTCCTCAGATCTTCCAATGGTGCACCCATTGCCGTTGTAACTGAATCCATCCACCTTGCTGCTGGTCATCCTCTTATTCTCTTTCCTTCCACCTTTCCCAGCATTAGAGCCTTCTCGAGAGAGCTAGATTTTTGCATGATATGTCTGAAGTAGGATAATCTGGATCTAATTATTTGTGCCTCGAGTGAGAACTTTGGGCTGATTTATTCAATGATCCATTTGTCTGTTTTCTTGGTCATCAGTGGTATTCTCAGGAGTCTTCTCCAACACCAAGTTCAAAAGCATCAATACTCTTTCTATTCCTCTTCTTCAAAGTCCAATTTTTGCTTCCATAGAATGTCACAGGGAATACTATGACTCACACTATTCTGAACTTTGTAGACACATCATGGCATTTGAATATCTTTTCCAAGGACTTCATGGCAGCTGTAGTAAGTGTTAGTGTGTATATATTTCTTGACTGCTTATTCCTTTACTGTTGATGGTTGATCCTAAAAGTCAGAAGCTATCTACCACTTCATTGTCTTCATTGTCAGTTATAATTAGTTTGGGTAACTCCTCCTGAAAAGGTTAGGTTATGAATTGCATTAGTCTTCAAGTTACCACAGCTCGTTCAGCGACCATTCAAATTACGACTGCGCTGAAAGAGGGTGACTTATGACTGTTCTGCAAAGTTGCGGCCGTTGCAGCGTTCCCATGGTTATGTCATCGCAGTCCGGGCACACAGGTGCCTGGCTCATGATTACTACATTGCAGTGAGTCATGGTCATGTGATTGCCTTGATGACACAAGCAAAGTCAATGGGGAAGCCAGCAGGGAAGGTCGCAAATCACTCCCTAAGTCGGTTCTGCCACGTTTTCTCCTGAGGACCCCCACTATGGAGCACGAGCACCTGCACCCACACTCCATACCGTGCACCTACCCCCAGCACTCCCAGTGTGCCCATGCTCCCCAACGCCTATCTGCAGTCTTCATTGACCCACCCATGCTTGCCAACGTCCACCCACAGCCCCCACCAGCCTGCCTGCTCTCTCAAGTGCCAGCCTGTGGCCCCCGCCAGCCCACTAGGGCCTGCCCTCGGCCCTTGCTGGCCTGCCTGCACTCCCTAGAGCCTGCCTGCAGCACCCACCCCGTGTGGCACCCCCCACTCCTCACCTTGGACTCCTACCTCTTCTTGCTTAATGACCCTCATAGTCCTGGGGTTACATGGCAACCAGGACTGCTGGGAGTGCTGTTGCTAAGCAATGCAGTCACATGACATCAACCACATCATCATCCCAACTGCCATTGTCACCTGAGGACTACCTGTATTTCCTATAGTTTTATTTTCCTGTAGTGTTTTGTTTTATTTTTTGACAGAAAAGGTTGTGGAAAATATGTGTGATAGTGTCTGGGTGAAAATGAAAACAAAACCCCTATTAAATTAAGAAAATGCAAGCGCTTCACCAAAATTTGGAATGAGCCAGTTTGATTTCTGAATATTCCAGTTTAAATTGTTTGAGCATGAAAGTGGCAGTACTTTTCCAATGTTGTGGGTCATGAGTGCACTGCCTTTAAGTCCCATCATGCTGTCTTGATTTTATTTAAGTCACACTTCACTGTAAATGTCTAACTAGCCACTGACCATTCTTGCCAGAGAGGCTTTTAGAGTGTAAAGACTGTAACAGCCACTATGTAGGACAGACAGGCAGAAGACTAGCAGAGCGCATCCATGAACACCAACTAGCAGTCAGAAGACATGATGAAAACTCCTTAATCTTACATGGGCAGACTCAACCATAGTTTCAACTAGGAAACTGTTAACATCCTAGACTAATCTAAATCTAAAAATGCTAAGGAATTCCTGGAAGCTTGGCATTCAGACAAATCAGCCATTAATAGACACATACAGATAAACCACATTTACACACCATTCAAAAGAGACAATAAAAAAGCTAAGAAGAAAACAAAAAGACCAGAGCACATCCTCTCCAACAGTCAACACCCAGAGAAGCAGGGATTAACATCAGACAAACAATAAAACAGAAAACAATACCCTAATCAGGAACTACCTAGGAGAAAACCACATCCCTATCAACACTGGCAGGACAAGCTACTGTATGTAAACAGGGAGCAAACCCCCCTCACTTACACTGATGATGTTACTAGTTGGGTAATTAAATGTCTGCAAGCAAACAACCAAGCTCAGAGAGCACCAAGCTCAGAGAGGCTTTTATTTTGGCACAGATTCAGCGCAGAGGCAGATTTTTAAAAACTATATTTTATTTCTGGCTCCTTTCCAGGAGTGATTTGGGGTTAGTAACAATTCTTAAATATTGTCTCAGTAAAATCAGCTGTAAACATCCATTAATATACATTGTGTACCAACCATTTCTTTATTAGTTTTTATGTTTAAAAAGTACTTTCGACAAAACATTTTTATAGGGCTTTTGGGAAAATTTAAGGCTGACTGTTTTCCTGTAAAAGAAATATTCCTCACAGTTGCTGGGTCAGTGTTGAGTCCTGTGTGCTTGAATGCCCTTGCAGGGTTTCTGAAGGCAAGTGTACATGTATTGTTTAGCCAAAAATTTAAGTAGATTGAGCTCATTTCGTTGTGTTGCATGAATTGTTAATATTATAATGCTTTGATGCTTATTGTGGATTATGGTTGCCAACTATTTTAATGCATTTGGAAATGGGAATTATTAATTATAATAATGGGGGCAGTGTTGATGCTCAAACATTGCCTAAATGCATACTGGGTGGCTTTCCCTCTTCATCACAAACAAATCTGTTAATTATTCTCTCCCTCTGGGTCAGTAATATTTTTTTGCTTATTTTGTGCTGCAGACCCTATTGTATAGCAGACAGCATCCCCAATTCATTTTATTTTTTCCTTTGGTTCTGAAATTGTTCTTCTTGAAAGGCTTTCAGCATGGCCCTTGACAAGCAAATACAATTCAGAGTATCCAAATTTGGCCACAAATAAATATGTACATTCATTGAACCCACTTAATGGTTCATCTGACAGCTTGAGTAGCTAAATGTTGTAAAAGATACATAGTGCACCTGACCTGTGATGCCCGATTGCATAAAGCAGATAAATGAAATGGTGTGCAATGAGTACCACCAATATTCCAGCATTTGTGTAAAATTGTTAAAATATGATATTCTTAACGAATAAATAAGTTCCTAATTTTCATATACGTTTGCATATATTCCTATTCCCCCACGATCCATTGTCATTACTTAAAATGCATTCTTTAAAACTTACATATGGAATATAAAAAATGATGGATTGGCCAGGCTTATGAATTGCTGTAAGTTCTTTAAATGAAATTATTCTCTTTTTAATCTCTTCAAAACACCTATCAACTTTCTTTATTCCATACCCTGTAATTTCCTTTTTTTTCTGTCATTAACATAAGCTGTTACTGAATGTGGATCTCTTTTAATAAGAAAAAGAGTTGTTGTTTTCATAGAGGGATGAGTGGATGACCTTAGATTTTATGTCTGTGAAAACACTGTCTTCAGCATCACTGAAGGCTGAAAAGCAGAAGGAAAAAATATTGGAGCAACAGAAAGCCCAGGAAAATGAACAGGTAGGTTTGGTTATTAATTGTGTAAAAGATTGTGAGAAACTGGCCAACGGCCAAAATGTGTATTTCTTCAGTTATCAGATATTAATTTGGAGATTTAATTCTCCCGAGAGCCAATCCAAGTTTCCAAGCTTTATTTATTATATATGTATAGCCATTGGCTATTCCATCCAGCAGTAATAAGTATCCCGTTTGTCTAGTTGATTCTTGCCAAGGAATGAAAATAAAATCCGAGGAACAAATGAAGCCTTACTTTTAGTGATGTATATGCTTAAGAAAAAGAGATTTATTTTTAATATAAATAAAAGTCACACTGAATACATTTCTTTACAAACAAAATGTGTGGACCTTCACTGAATTTTAATTAGATCACTTTGGCAGGTAACAATTGGCTTCCTGGTTTGTTTGTTTTTTAAACTGAAATGCCTGAATTTTTTTTTTGTTGGCTACAGGGCTAGGGTTGAATTGTGGTCTCTTACTTTAATTGTATTTTAATTTTTCATCATATTAATGGGTGGAATGGCTTATGGCTACACATATATAATAAATAAAACTTTTCTGTTAATGTTTTCCTGTTAATAATTGACTTACCGCTATTGCCAACAAACTGTTTTTCTGCTATTTTTGACTTGATGTGGTTCTCTCAAACTTCTATATTTTACTTATTAGCCAAAATAAGTTAACTTTTTAGTAAAAGGATGATGAATAAGTTTATTATCAAGTTCTTGCTAATGTGATGAAAACAGTGGTGGAATTTATTTGTTAATTAAAGCCCAAGAACTGAAGGGCTAAACTCTCCATTTTACTTGAGTTGATGAATTTGATATGTGTAAATTCATTTGGATGCTTTTTCAATCACACTTTTCAAAAAATTAAAGCACAAAATTAAGTAAATACAGAAAAGATAGAATACGTAGCTCTGACATTTGTTCAAAATGACCATAGAGGTAAAGTAGGTTTGATGAGGCATAAAGGATCGTTCCATGAAGCTGTTGACTTTGTAACTTTTTGCTTTTTTAAACTGCTGAATAGTTGCTGCTTTCAGAAAGGGAGCTGAACCCATATTGGAAAGATGGTGGTACAGGCTTACCACCAGATGAAATATCAACATCAGTGAAAGGTAACATCTTCCTATAAACTTTGACAATCTCTTTTTCTAGAATGGCTGTCTTTCTCTTTTTGTAATCCTTCATTAATGTGTTAATGTTAAAAGAAAATAAAATGAATATTTGCTGGTAATGATACCTTCATTAAAATTGTAGCACATAGCTTTACGTAATATTTTAAATCATTTCTTTTCTTGTAATCTTAAGAGGCCTGACCTTCAGTTTCTGTAACAGAATTCTTCATTCTGAACTAATTAAAAAAAAACAACCCCCCCCCCACACAACTGATTGTACTAAGACATGATGAATTGTTGTCATCTCATTTGGTCTGTTACATTCCATTATACCAATTGCAGCTTTAAAATATTCAGAGACTGAACTTTGTGAATCCCATTTTAAGTGAAGTAAATTAAGGATGCTATTGGGGCAGAATATTATTTATGTAACCCTTTTTCATGTCTCTCCTCTCTCCTGTAGGCTATTTGGTCTCCTTATGGAAAGAGCAAACACAAGTGTGTGTGTGTGTGTGTGTGTGTGTGCGTCCACGCACGCGTGCGCATGTGTGCACGCACAGGACTATTTATAAAATTATGCAAACTCTGTTGTGTGCTAAATGGTAAAGATATTTGCTGAATTGCATATAGTGATGCAGAATGGAATAGAATTTAATAAAAAAAAGCCTAACATCACAATGTTTACAGCTCAAGTTACTTAAATGTCAGTATGTCGAAAGAAAGAAATACTGTAATTGCATGTGAGAGTTGAATTTTATGTCTTTAAATGTGCTTCTAAATAAAAATTTAGTAGAATATGAAAGGACCTTAAGATTTATTTTATCACAACTACTTTCCACAGTGAGTTATTTCTTGTGCATTCCCACTACATATGCCTAGTTTTTCAAGTAGAAACAGAATAATTTTTTTTCCCTGTGGTTATTCACTGAATATGCTACAAGAGTGATTGGTTTGAAGCTACAGAATCTGTTACTTCCGCTTGCTCTCTGGCATCTTCAAGAGAGGACTAATTTTTAAAGATAATTAGGTGGGCTGTGGTTTTGAAATGCATATAAGAATATGAACGCAAATGGGAGAATTGTGTCATTGTTAAGAATATTTTTGACTGGGCTAACATATGCCGTAACTGAAACACAGCGTATGCTGTTAGCACTAAGGCAATTGTATTAAATTGTAGTATATAAATACTGTATTTACTGTCATTATTCTGTAGTAACAGCAGTAGAAGATGGTGGATTAAGCTGGCTAAAGAAATCCTACCAGAGAATGAAGGAGCAATCCAAGACAGAAAAACGGGACTTGGAAGAAATTGTAGCTGAAAGATACGGGGTGAGTACTGAAAGGATGACAGTGAAAATATTTGTGCAGTGGAAAAAATGAAGCTTCTCAATAAAGTATCAATAAATTAACGTCTTAAATAAAACATAGACTAATACAGATAGTCCTTGTTATCTGGGATGGTCACATTGTTGCCTCACAAATATCAAAATCACAAAGAACGAGACCTTTAAAAATGTACTTTATGCATGCCTAAAAGCCCATCTACTTTTTTGCACACGGATAGAGTAACAAAAAAGTGGCCTAGACCAGTGTTGTCCAAACTTGGCCACTTTAAGATGAGTGGACTTTAAGATGCTGGCTGGGGAATTCTGGGAGTTGAAGTCCACT